TGCCCCGTCCCCCATCCCATCCACCCACCACCACCATCACCGCCGCCAATACCACACCAACAAAGAAAAAGAAAACGACAGTGCACGTTGACCTTGTGCTGTTGGCAGTCCAGTCGTTCCGTAAGAAGTCCAGAGAGGCGCATAAAAACAAAAAAAAGCTCTCCCTCCCTCCCTCCCTCCTTGCCCCCTCCCTCACACACACATACACACACACACATATATATATATATATATATATGTGTGTGTGTATGTGTGTGTGTGAGGGAGGGGGCAAGGAGGGAGAGCACAGCGAAAAGAATACATGTGTGTGCATAGCTGTACATGCATATGGGCACGCATATATAGATATATATATATAGTGAAGGGCGGCGAAGCCAGAGAATGCAATGTAAACACCACGCGAGAGAGAAAGAGAGAGGTGACCACAGGGGAGCAGAGAGGTCACCCGCCCACCCACCCACACACACACACACATGAAATGCAGATGAAGAGGGGGTGGGTGGGCTGTGTGACAGGATGGCCATACTGCGGCCGCCACGGTGTGTCTCTCGCGCACGGCTAATGATTGAGCCGCTAAACGATTATTCAGTACGTATTTAGAAATGGAAAGTACACAGAAAGGCAGACACGCACCAGCGGCTGGAGCCGCACACACGTATTGGTCCCGAGAAGTTAGGCAGAAGGGCAGACGCTGTCGCAGCGCTTGTGTGGTTTCGCCTCGAAATGGCGCGTGCGCACCTGACAGCGAGGAGCCTTTCAAATCCTCGTTGGGTTGTCTATGGCACAAGAAAATCACCGCATCCTCTTACACGTCAATCGCACTCTGCACCCAGAGCACTCTCCCAGGGCGTTACGTATCTGAAACGTCAACCGGCGGCATTGACGGCAACACGCATCACCACACCTTCTGTGAGCGCTCCACACTGCCCCACGGACGCTCTCCCTTCGTTTACTTGTTCACCGGGTGACCACTCTTGCCACTAGGGTCCAAAATCACAGTCTGGATGCTGAGCGTCCCCTCAAAGAGCCCGCTCTCCGCACAGCCGCCGGCCTTGCGGATGGCGTGGCCGCTCATCATCTCGCGCACCATCATTGTGAACGGATACTTCTCATTGGCGTGGTGCGCCGGCACAGCCCAGTCGCGGATTTCAATCGAGGCATCCGTGTACCCCTCACGCATCGCAGACAGTATCACTGTGGTAATATAGCCCTTCACTTCAGCCCCTACATGTTTCTGCGTTGGTGTGTCGGTGATACACATGCTGAGCACGAACTGAACTCGGG